CGTGGACAATGTTGTAGGTGAACATGCAAGGTACTGTAACAAGTATCTCGGTTTAACTGGTTAGTGACGTCATTAAAGAGAACTAAAGAACCAAGAGTTTCTTCTTTGCCAGACATTCTTAACTCGAAAAGAACTATCTTTTATGTCACTGATGAGGTTTACCGGTTAACTTATACTTTCCCACGGAAGCATGTTATAGTAACCAAGATACAGCATAAAATGAAATGAATTACCAATTCCAGCAAAATATTCAGACACAGCCTGTGCTCCCTTAGCTATTGCGAAACCGAAGGGAGTCATTTTGTCTTCAGCTGCTTGAGCGATGTCGCCTTCGTGCTCAACCTAAAAATAGAGAATTTTGTAAAAAGTGAGAAATGAATCTCTACAGTTTCGTGGAGTCAAATGCTGTTCGACTACCATCTTTTGAGCCAGAGTAACATTCTTGGAGAGAACAATTATCCACTTGCATCAATAGATTTATAGCTATGTTTGTGCATTATGTTACTGTTAACTGTATTCTCGACGCTTAATTGCATAACGTCTCGATCGAATTATCCCTTACCAGCCATCTTACTGATAGAAAGAGCTTCCCTAACCAGTTATCCTGCTGGGCGTACATACAAAATCGGAGGCTTAGTCACTAATACCTTGTCATGTAATGTTCAATGTCTTTTCTCAAAAATTCCTAGATTAAACATGTAAGATTGAAATAAAACACACAGTTTCTTACCAATCGCTTGCAAATGTCGACGCAGTCCATTTGAGCAGCAATGTGAAGAGGTGTGTAAGACCCGAATCCTTTCGCATTAGTGTTGGTTTTACCGTCTTTTAACAATAGCTAGGGATATTAAGAATAGACGACATCATTGATAAGACTTAATACAATCATAATGGAATGCAGGTCTCGCTACCATTAGGTGCACCTAACATGTACAGATGGACACCATCCCTTAATCTCCTGATAAGGATTGATCAAGATCAATATAGTCTTATTAGGAAAGATCGAGAGTTTATTTTCTGCTCAAGAGGCAGCAATGAGGTCAACTATAGTTCTACCAAGTGAAAAGTAGGAAAGTATCATTATAACAAGAACAAACATTATATTTTCTCACCACAACAATTGCCTCGCTATCAACTCTGACAGCAGCGTGGAGAGGCGTGTCTCCCCGCTCATCAAGACACTTGACATCAGCTCCTGATTTCAACAGCAGGTCTACGATGTTGAAATGTTTCCCAAGAATGGCATTATGCAACGGGGTTTTGCCAACTGAATCCGGAGCATTTATGTCTAGGGGAAACAAATGCAAAGATGCATCTTATAGTTACCTCAATCAATAAGTATATTGAAATGAATTAACTAAGTGAAAGGTGTAAAAAGATCATCAGTGCCAGCCCTGATTCAGCCTAAGAACGTGCCGACACGTACACACCCTACAAGTGTAAAATGATAATAAGTAAAATTGAATGAAAACCATCAGACTAATTTACATGCGCTGGAACTTGAATGCAATTTTCAAAAATACAACTAAAACGGATTTTTGTGCACGAGTGTTTCAAGAAAGCTAGAAAAGACTTAATGTAAGGAGTACGCGTACCCTGCGCGCATGTCACTTCCGGAGTCCAATCCTAATAAGGGACATTCATTTTAATTTTCAGAAAACCTCTTTTGAAACGAGGATTTTTTTCCTCCCTTTTTTTTTACATTACTTGCAGTAATTACATTTACTTAATTTTCTAATACAACTCAAAATTTAAAATATTACGTTCTAAATCACCAATTCAAACAATGGCAGTCAGCTATGTTTGTGATTATATTAAAACAGATACGACAGAGAGTTATGTGATGATCCGTTTGAAAGTAGTTCGAAATGGGACTCTAAATATATACAGTACTGATTGTGAGCCATTTTTAATTCTTAGATATGAAGGAATATTTGCATAAATGGTCTAAATGATTTTTAGAGTTTTACTCCACACTCACCAACTCCTTTTCCAAGCAATTTTTGCACTTCTGCCTCGTTTCCAGACAAAGCTGCATGATGCAGTTTCTGTATTTTGTTACCTTTGCCTGCTTTCTGTTATAGGAAAAAATAAAGCACAAACATCAAGAACTAGTAAAGTATAGCACTTGAATAACAGAGGGCCAGCCAAGAATACAGGATACATAGCTCTTATTTACATATGGTAAACAAATGAGCCAATCAAATTTAGAAGGTGACGACACAGTCTTCCCGGTTAAAAGTCTCAACCTACCTGTAAGAGATATGGTAAGAGTAGTTAAACTGACAAGAGACAAGTCACATCTCACATCCTTACTTTTCTGTCACAATCAGAATATCAAGTAGCTCTGTGTGTTTGCTAGTTATACTTTAGTAATAATCAAAACTTCATTCACAGCATTTTTATATTGCCAATATATTAAGATCTCGAAAAAACTTGCTAAAGCTGGCGATACTAAAGGTTTATCATAAGTAACCCCAAGAAATGACTTTGTTTAACCATCTATGATTTTCACGACATATCCTTGATATCCTTTCCTCTTAGGAAGTGTCAGGAGCCGGTAAGGCGTGAAACGACCGAGGGTTCTTTTATTGAATTTACCGGGCATCGGATGCAGCAGCCCAAGCAAAATGGCTGCACAGTCTTATTCATAGCTCATTATCTCATCATTAGCACTTTGTAGCTCATAAAGGTTCGTAAACAACTCGCACCACGCTCGGAGATTATCTCGCCTCCCGAAACCGCAAACCAATGGGACAACGGGACCTCCTGCCCGACGATGGATCAAGATTTCCCGGGAAAAGTGATCCTTGGCGGACACGTTTTTTCATCTCGATCGTTCTGTAGAGCGTTGAGGAGGACGACACAATAATGGGCAAAGTTGCCAACGCCATAGGAAAAACCCGTGGCAAAAATGGAAAAACCTCAAAATGTGCTGAGAAGCAAGAAAAAGAATCGACAGACGGCTTTCAAAATAACATTTCGAGGCAATTGTTAAAGTTCATGTGTCAAGGCTGGTACTTGCATAAATAAAAGGAAACCTCATTTTTGCTCTATGTATGACAAATTTTGGTTTGACGCGACTTTGTTCGAAATCTTTCGTCTTAGGGCCTGTTTTTTTTTCCTCTTTTTATACCAAGGTCTTTCTTCTGCTTTTGTTTTTTCCGTGAGCAAAAATTTTTCCATAAGCAAAGAGCTTCCACGTCTGAATTTTGTCAATTGCGCGATGTAAACAAAATATGCAAATAACATGACCAACGGGCCCTGAAGATGACCGCTTGCCGCGAAAATTCCCCCACGGGACTCGCTCAGTTACGAGATTGTGACACCTTCCTAATTTATTATTTTTTAAACGGTTGTGAATATATGAAAGTCATATATTTGAACTGCGGTTAAAGACGTGAATATGAAAGCGATCTTCGCAGTAATGAACACTACTTAAGCAGTAGTGAAAAGAAGGCCTGAAGAAAAAAAAATTCAGGCCTGTACGGGATTTGAACCCATGACCTCTGCGATACCGGTGCAGTGCTGAAAGATCGCTTTCATATTCAAGTCTTTAACCGCAGTTCAAATATATGACTTCCATATATTCACAACCGTTTATTCACCACTTCACGGGTTTATTTGGAACCAACACAGTTGGCTTGTTAGCTCAGTTGGTAGAGCACTACACCGGTATCGCAAAGGTCATAGGTTCAAATCCCGTACAGGCATGAATTTTTTCAAGCCTTCTTGTCACTACTACTTAAGTAATGTTCATTACTGCGAAGATCGCTTTCATATTCACGTTTTTATCTTTTATTTGAAATTACGTTTTTCTTAATAACTCGGGTACTCTTGGAAATTTTAGAACATGTTTTCTTGGAAACGTTAGGCAAAATGTTTGAAGTCAGTTTAGTCAAATTAAAGAAAAAACGATTTTTCGGCCTCTGATGGTGGGAAGTAACCTTGATACCTAAGTTTTGGAGTGTTTACACTGTTTACACTGTTCAAGTTGAATATTATTCACACCATGTTTCGCACTCAATCCACTTAATTGGCAGCATTGCTTGAAAAAATGACTTTTGGTTTGAAAATTAAGTTAATTTGCTTGCTAACTTTAATCTCAGACCAAATATTATGGATTAAGCTCATGCGAAAACTTCGGTAATGGGACTTTGAAAAGTTGCTTACAATGCTCGAGGCAAGAAGGACTCCTATGAAGCATGTGTTAATTGACATTTTGTCTAAAATTTCGTACCTCCTCTCGGATACAAATACCTTTATTTGCAGCGAACAAAAGTATAATCGGCCTCCAATTCTTTAGCCCGAATCATGCGTAATCATAATGATTACCGGTTTGTAGCTACGCTGTTACCTAAATACGTAGTACCGTCAAAAGACTCCTAAAGGTAGATTTTCAAAAATAAGTACAAATCTCACCAGCTTTCTATAAGATGAATAGTCCATATGAGTATTGGTTATGTATGGCACAACTGGAGGGCCAATACGTGCACACTCGCTGTATTCTGACGTATCTTGTACAGTTTGTTGCGCTGCTGTACCCGTAAATTTAAGCGACTACATGCAAACAATGTACTTCAGATGCATAAGCACAGGTTATGCCACAAATAAACTCGTTCGAGAGTTAGTTTCTCATTAAAAGTTATGAAATTTTGATATCGTACGTCAGTAATAATTACGCTCGGTTTGATTAAAGTTCCGGTGGCCTAATCTGTTAAGCTTTCTGTTTTGAATGGCTAAAATATAGTATCAAACCTCAAGGCTTCTTCACAGCGATGTTTATCTAAGAGTTGTGCGAAACTTCGAGAAATATCACACAGTTTTGTAAATCCAGATTTTTAAATTGACAGTAAGTTTCAGTCAAATCGCTGGATACACTTCCAGGAAGGAAGGGAGCGACTTACCGATGCAAGTATGTAAGTAAATATCACCTTAGTCTTTCTAAACACATCAAAACATCGCTAAACAATGGACATCACACGAAAAACTCATGTGCTTTCTCACTCCAAAGCTTGAGTAAGGTAAGATGTCTTACCTGGTGATGTTTTGCCCGAATGGCATTTTTTGGCGTCCCTGTTTGTTTGGTTGAGTTACCGTTAGTATCGGCGTGGTTTTCATCAGCCTCTGAAGCATCAGAATGCGCACTTATTTGACTGAACTTCCTTAAGCTGATGTTTGATCGCTGTATCTCCGGGCTGCCTGGCGGATTTGAATTTAAAGGGATATCTCTCTCTTTATATCGGTCTGATTTGGACAAAGATCCTAAAGATGACTGTAGGTAGGACGTTGGCCGTTTTTTAAGAACTTGTTTTTGGTACATACTTCCAGGAGACGCAGCCATTGTAGAACTATATCGACCTGCTTCGCTCGACCACCAAGAAAATACTGATTTTGTAACCACGTTTCTTTGGGAACAAAGTTATTTCTTTCATTTTGCGGATGCTCCGAAAGTTTGTTTGCACCTAACTCAAAACATGCTTAACAATCAATTTATTGACATGTGTCCCACCACCGAACAGACTTAAAGCTACTTCACCAACGGTGACGTGGGTATGTTTACAATAGTTTATTGATATGCAAATCGATTCTAATGTAATATATTTGGAGAGGCAACAATTAGCATTTCTACTTAAATAGTATCACAAATAACTGTATATATTCGGAATACCAGATGAAGGCCTGATAGAGATTGAGATTCTCATATCTTAGGTATTTACGTTCTCAGGATATCCCTGAGGAACGTTCTTTAGTAAAAGTCCAGTTATCTTCGTGACTCTAAACTAACACTTGCGTAATGAGACATTCAAATATCGAAACACATGACGCTTCTTCAGTTTTGATGACATAAATTTCTTTTCCATTTATTGCCATTCAGTTTGTTCGGTTGGCCTCTTTGTTTGACAATTTATAAGTTTTTTGGTGACTTTGTAAGCCAGGGAAGTGACGTTTTACTTTTGTTTGCACATATATCGATTACAACCGTAGGTGAAATAAAATCAGTCGTGCAAAGGTGATCATGATCCCACCCCACTGCTTTCTTCAGTTATATACTCCACATGCTTGAAATCTTTCAAAATACAGTCAAACCTTCCAAACAAGGAGGGTAAAGGAACAGAGCAAATTGCCCGTATTGGAGGGGTGTCTGTTTTGCTGATAGGTCACGACTATGACGTCACTTATACGATTCCACAGACAGTTTTCAAATGTATAGTAACAAAAACAGGCGCACATTTTGATTTATTAGGACGCTGTCTCACAGAAGAACAAAACCAGAGCTACAAAGCAATGGTATACCAAGAAAATTATCACTTTTCTTTAATTCTTAGAATAGTCTTTCGACAACATGTAGTAGCAAACTGTAACGAGTAGTTTTTTTAAAATCTGGGTGCATATCTTAAAAATTGCAAGTCTTCAAATTGTCTGTGGCATTCCTTTGTAAACCTTTCGTGAATCGGTTTTTCAAAGAAATGAATGACATCAAGTTTGATACTATTATTATTATTATTTTCATATCAGAAAAAAATATATATTATAATTTTGTCGGAGCACCCGGCGGAAACTCTCTTTACTGTTAGAGAGGTGTCTGCACTAAAGACACATATTATAAATCAGAGAAGATTCCTTATGAATGGGGGATTAGCTCAAATGGTAGAGCGCCCGCTTAGCATGCGGGAGGTACCGGGATCGATGCCCGGATCCTCCAGATTTTTGCTCTTGAGTTTAAAATAGTTTTCATTTCTTTTTTACCATTGATTTTAAAAAATCAAAAAATAAATAAAAAATAAATAAAAAGACTGTGAGCGGAGTACGTGAAGAATGAAATTTTCTCTGCGTTTCACAGATGAACTTACATTAGATTTTCCAAAACGAACGGATGTTTTGGATTTCACAGTCCACTCAAACTTGCATCACGAGTGAAACCTTTTGCCGCCTATATCCCATGGTAACGGCTCATGAGCAGTATGCTATGCAAGGAAAATGATCGTGAACACAATATCAATTAATGTATGGCTCTTTTGCCGCGCGCTCAACAGTTCGGCGCACAACAGTATACAAAAACCTTTGGAAATTATCGTTTTGGTAAATGAGATTTATGAAACGTCAAATCGAATTTTGCTCTTAAATTCAACGCGTAATACAGAATTAACGAAATTTTTATTAATGTCCTACCGTGTATTCAGGTGGCCTTCCAGTGCTAATTACGCAAATTCAGCTTAGACCTGACAGCTTTGAAATAAGATACTTTTTTTATCCCTCAGAATTCACCTCAGAGAGAGCCAGATATTACAGTTTTTTGTGTTGCTACTTTGGATTTTGGGGCAGAATGGATAGATTCCTGCATGAGAGTTTTAAAAAAAAGTTTCCTCCCAAATTATGGCTTTGAATAAATTTCTCTCTTGTTTAAAGAGGGGCCGACATCGTTACCAAACATTTGTTACAAAAACTCATCTGTCATACTACCAAGACACGAGTTGCTGTTTTATGAGAAAATCAAGCTGGTCTATATTTAATTTATTTGTCCTGAAATGACACTCTTTGTATACGAAAATGGTAAAGCAAGAAAAATACAATTCTCTCAGACACTAAGACTTAACCGGCGATTATTATGATAGCAGAATGATTGTTTATCAGTTTACTCACTTTTATTAAACTTTGCTGCCAAGCGTCGCTCCTCTATATTCTTCGTTCTATTCAAATCTGTTATTGAATATGTTTTACTCATAGCGTAGCTCATACGGAAAAAAAATCCATACATTGACATATAGAAGTTTTATGGGAAGAACCTAGCTTGAAGTATCAACATTTCAATCTGTCCACAATTTAACACAGCTAATTGAATAACAAGAGTCATTATACGCGACAGATAAGCTCCGGGGCTTGAAATTTCTGTAAAACGTAAGTACAGAATTTGTAAAGTTAATTTTTTTTTTCTACCTCACATCGCCATCTTTTTGTTTGTTTGTTCAGAAATAGAAATAAAGCTTTCCTTTAGAATGCATTAGAGCGGTTTAGACTGGACTCTTGATACAGCCGCAACAGATGAGTGCATCTACTCTTGGAAACATACCTGGGTTTGTAAAAAAGAATTCATTCTCTCACAATTTTCTTCTCAAAATATTTGGTATCCGTTGCCAGTGATTTGGTCTTTGCGCGATGAGCGAACAATCAACTTGTCCGTAAAAGGTGAGGCCGCGAGAGGAATGCTAAGGACTCGATGAAGTCTCTGAAACTTTTTTGTTATTCTTGTTGTCACTAGCAACAAATGACACTCTTCCACTATTATGGACCTGTCTCTTTTAAAATTTTTTGTTTCAATTTTACCCAAAGGTCATTGATTTCCAAACAGTTGGGTATTTTGAATAGAAAGACTTGAAATCGGTTTTGGTTTAATTTGTAATGACACTTTTGAAAAAATATGACAACTACAGAGTAAAGAATGAAATCGTTTTGAAAGAATCCGTCACTTTGCACTGCGGGTTTTAAAATGCTTGCGACCCCGCGTGCGAGCCCAAAACCTCACCATTAGCAGGTACGTGCAGAGCTGTTCTGAAAATTAGCATTTGAACTCTCCTCCAAAATATTTCGTCCTAAAGCTTTTGCTTAACAAACGGGATCGCAAAATACAAAGGCAAAGGAAACGGCTCTGCTGGGCTGTGGGGGGCTCTTTGTTTCGCTATACTACCTCGCCTGGCATTTGAGAAGGAAGGAGATAAAAGTGAGAAGAAGACTGCTACATTTGGAAACCAACATTGTTTCGTCAATATAATGAATTATTAACTTGATTTTCCTGATTGATTTTGATT